GTGGGTGGGCATCTGCAGCTGGTGCATGGTGGGCCAATTGTGTCATTGTTTCTCTGTGTCATGATAGATCTCAATTGAGTGGCGGTGGCCGGCCTAAGGGCCGGCACACAACAGCGCTCTCCACCGCATGGCTCCCCATGCACCAGGGGCCCTCCCTCTGGGGGCCTACGAGGCAGGAAGCTAGCCAGCCGGAAGACTGGCGCTCCCCGCCTGTGGCTCCTTGTGTGGCGGAAGCCCTCCTTCCAGGGGCCTACGAGGCAGGGAGGGAGCCGCTGGTCCGAAGACCGGTGCTCCCCACCCGAGGCTCCCTGTGTGCCAGGGGCCCTCCCTCTGGGGGCTACAAGGCAGGAAGCTAGCCCAAGTGAAATTTATTTAGCATTTGTGTTCATTTGTGTTTTGTTTCTAAACAGTAAGATAAAGGAGGATGTTACAAGCAAGGATGTATAAATATATCTAAAAAAAGGAAATTTGGAGATTTTGGCTAAATTGAATTGATTATTTTTCTTCTGCTCTTTTCCCTTTCTCATTAAAAAGAAAAGAAAAACTATATAAACTCAGGAAAACAAAGAGTGGTGGACCAGTGATTTCAACACAAATTTACAGCACTAGGACTGAATAATCTGAGTAGAAAGCTCAGTTTGGGGTTCCATCAAAGCAAGTCAAGAAGACCAAGACTAGAGTGATGTGATGTAAATTAATGAATGGTGTGAAACGGAAAAATAATGCGGAATATAAAATAAAATGATTTTCAAACATAACATCAAAAAATTCGGGGCTGGGGATTTAGCTTAGCGGCAAAGCACCTGCCTGGAAAGCACAAGGTCGTGAGTTCGATTCCTGGTACCAGAAGAAAAACAGAAAAGACAAAACAAACAAGCAAAAAAAAAAACAAAGAAAAAATTCATTAGGAGGGGAGAGAGGAATGAAGGAAAGGTAGGGCTTTATTATAAAAACAAAAAACAAAAAACTGCTTTCTGAAATTTCTACTTGGATGCGAAGCATATATTCACCCATTTTAGGATCTCAGTACTGGTTTTTAATGTTAAATACAGATACAGATAGAAGAAGGTACAAAATGGAATCAAATTCTAATGCAGTCATCCTGCTGGACCAGCCTGTAAGCTTTGGCAGGACTCAGAGACTGACAGACCACAAAAACGTAGAATAGTTGGAATTATTAGGAGATGTCTTGGAGCTTCCAGGTACCACAGTTATTACAGGAATCTGGAATTAGTTGAGCCGATAAGGTATAGATCTGAGAATAAATGAACTAGTGGACAGAGCAATACCTTATCAGGGAGTGTGTGGACTTTGGAGAGCTGCGATCATGGTTCAGGAATCGAGGCAAACAAGATTGTGATTGAAAGAACAAATACTGGCTAGAGGTCAAAGGAGGCTGGCAGGAACGTCCACGATAAATAGGAAGGTGCTTTGCAATAATGCTGAGAAAAACGCTGGTGAAGTAATTTTCTGTGCCAAACAGGAAGTTCATAGAAACTCATCGCTGGTTAAAAAAAAAAAAGTAAGTACCAGTTAGTAAATCAGCCAGCCCCATGTCAGGGACTATCCAGAGCTTGCCTGTGAGACTAAGAGTTAACCTGCGTGAAGGAAGCTGGGAAGAGATGCCACTTGAAACAAGTAGTTCCTCCTGTTTCTCGAATGGCGTGGTTGTCTCTCTCTGTCCTTACAATGCAGCCGTCCGTTGTGGACCAGTACTTGTGCAGCAGCCTTAGTGAGTGCTTCTTCCTGAAGACAGCCTGCTCAGCCTTAGTTTCTGTGATGGTGTTGCTGTCTCTATGTTATTTCTATTTATAGGCACACAGATCGAGAGCTAATGTGGCAAACTGCAAAGAGAGCTACATTTTTGTATTCAGATGTTCAGCAAATATTTCTGAATTTGTCGGAGTGCCAAGATAACTTCCTATGAAATATTACAACACAACAAACACTTGTTTGATATTTGTCACTTGCTGTCTTAATTTTTGGCACCTCAGAAAGATGTCTTAATGTATAAGAAAAGATCTCCATTAATTTTCCAAAAACTTCTCACAATAATAATGAGAAAGAAGTACAATAGTTTAGATTCCTCAAAAAATAAGCCTATTAAATTTTATTCAAGATTATTGGAGCAGCAAAGTTAGATGTATGATTAAGTCTCTTAGGAATGAGGCTCTTAGGAATATATTGTTCTATTATTATCTATGCAAACATTTTGTCTTGAGTGTATGGAGATTTATTCTACATTGTGTTCATAAAGTTACATGTGTATTTGCTGCATTCCAGCTTTGGTCAGTCAGCTGGTCCTTTTTTCACCCAGAAGTCTAACTTTTGTTAATGGAATGTTTTGATTTCACTTCCATGAGGCTTGGGTCTTTGACATTTTAAAAATTGGCAATCTGTGTGGTACCATAATTTCCAATTAATGTTTTATGGAATCCATAAAATCACAGATGAACTGGAAATGTGTATTTGTGTCGAATACTACATCTTTGTGATCTCTGTAAAGGGCTTGATCTCACCATTTACTCATTTGAATTACGAAAAGTTAGGGTCTTCTTTTCTTTCCTGAAAATTTGAGAAACATTTTTATTTCCGTTTCCCAAGGGTATTATGTAAAGAGCGCCCCTTAACAATGGAGCAAAATATTCTACTTTTCCAGAGGAGTAGAGTGAAAGCATGGCTACCACGTGACTGCGGCGTCCCCATGCGTGAGCGGAGGTTCCCGGCAGTAGCGTGCGATTGAACGTGACGCAGGAAACCCACCTTTGCGGCATCTAGAGCCTTGGAGGCGCTCAGCATTGCTGCAGTTAAGCAGGACCTCGCTTTAGCCAACAGTTCAATGTACCCACAAGTTCACAGAAGTGTTCTGAACTCAGAGCAGGGAACGTTTTACCCAGGTCACCAAAAGGAAGTACACATTGTGTACGAGTGAATGAAATGTCATTGTTAGGGAAAAATAAAAAGGGAAAGACTGCATGGGAGTAGCAAAGGGGATTACCTGGAAGGACTTGGAGAAGAGAAGAGCCGTGACCGCCATCCTGGCTGCAGCGCCCCTGCTGGCAGAAGGTAGAATACTTAAAGGCCAGAGTAAGAGCCCCTGCAAGACTGGGAAAACGTTGCCGGTGATCTCACGTGTAAGCAGCACTTTGAACAGCCTCTCCCAGTCACCGGGGATTTGTACCATGTCAGAAGGGCTCTGAGTCACCCAAATGAAAAAAGCACACATTATTATGAGCTACATAATAGATCTGTCTCAATGTCAGACTAGAGTTCAAAGTCACAGTGTAAGATTTATCTCCAGCAAGTGACTCAGCCATTCAGAGTTCAAGGCGGGCATTGTGTCAAATACAATAGC